CTCTCTCTCTCTCTCCCTCTCTCTGCCCTCTCATGGTTTGCCGCCCACAGAAGGAGAAGGGCAGGCAGAGTCAGTCCCAATGCACTAAAGATTGGACTGCCTCAGAGCGTGTCCTGGGGACTAAAATACAAATCAGCCCTTCCTCCAGTCAGCTGGAGTTGGCCCTTCTCCCAGGGGCCTGCCGGGAAGGCCGTCTGTGGCATTCAAAAAAACACATGAAAGAAAGAAAACAAATAATAACAGGAGTAAAAGAAAATAAATGAAACACTGGACCCCAACAGTCCTCATAAGATCCGCTCTCGGGGATGTGTTATTAATTTAACAATTTAATGGGTTCCTCTTGTGGTTGGAGCACATTTGGGCTTCATCAGTGTGTGGGAGAGGTTTAGGGGGGATAATAGCGGAGTCAGGAACAGGCCAACATGTAAACGAACTCTTTTCTCTTGCAAGAACATCTGGGAATTTCAGGTCACACAAAGGACAGCGGGGAAGAGGGAACAAACTGAAAACCAACACTGAAGGCCTTGACTTTCTCTCTCTGAGTCAGTATCTCAGAGAGAGAAAAATAAATCACAAACAGCCATCCGAACTCCAACCAATGTTGAACAGGGTTTAAATTCTTGGATGGTAAACTAGTACCTTGCTACACTCTGCATCCTGCATTCACGGTGTCGAGCTAAGAGGATAAATTGCAGCAATTGTTGAGTAAGGACAAAGTAATAGTATCAAAATGGTAACGTTCCATGACCGGCTTAATGAAATGCCTTAAATCTAATCTGCCTGCTTAACATGCATCATGTAATTTGAATTAAGAGCTGGTAGAGTTGTTAGCTGGTGGAGTTGAAGTACCATACAGTTCTGCTGTGTTTGTCTGCAGTGTCAGTCAGTGTCCTCTCCTTAATGCAGTGCGTTTTTTTACTGTCATATCTGATCAGAGAGCAGCCATATGTACTAATTAAATGCTGTCTGAAACCATCTGTGTGACACAAGTTCCAGGTGACACTGCATAACTTTGTCACATCGTATTTAGCTTTCTTTTTTCTCTCTCTCTCTCTTCCCTATTCACCACAACAGGGGCTCAGATGTCAGGAGAATCTACCATTAGATTTGGAGAGAAGGGGTACTTGAGCAGTGTACTTTCAGTCCTACGCCCACTGAGCCCCACACCAGCCTCTGACAACCAGCTGATAAAGGCCTGGAGCGCGCACAGTGGCAATATCTCAGTCTTACACGCACGAACGCACCCACCAGACCTTGGGTGCCATTAAAGCCGCTGCGCGTCGCGTTACTCATCAACTAGTAACATGTAACATGTGGACGCTCTTAAATATGTTCCTGGTATTTACAGATGCTGCTCCTGCGTTTCGAGTGGGCGGGCTGGTTTTGCGCCTCATACCCATCTGACACAGTCTATCCAAAGACGCATAACGCATCGGCACTGAAAACCCACGCGTCCCGCCTCCCGAAAGAAAGCGCTTCATATCAGTTAACCCTTCAGGCGCACTGCGTTATTACGCACTCATTAAAATGCCCCCACCCCTCCCCAGTTTACGCATATGCCTTGTGGGCTGTCAGGGGCTATTATTGGGACGTTTGGAATGAACACCCCTCTCCTTCGCCTACCGTTTATTCCCGACACAATTTCCGATGGATGTGTTTGTGGTCCCGTGGAAGGAGGATGGCCAGGACATCCGAGACTTTTTCAGTCCCGGTCGGTCGCTCGTATCCACGGCGTCGGAGCGCTCCATGTGCCGGTGGTGATGCCGGTCGGTGTCGGAGTACCCCCGATGTTTGATTTTAATCGGGGTCCGGGGTTGTCTCCAAAGATGCTGCGGAGGCTTCAGAGTCGCCTGTCCTTCCCGGGGAACCGGGAGCGACAGGGACAGGCTCTTCTTCGAACATGGTGGTGGTTCCATCATAGTGCAAAAAAAAAATTAAGGATCCCTTTTTTTCAACTTATTGACTAAATAATATGGCTGTATTCGTTTATTTCAAGCACAAAACAAAACGTGTCATGTCCCTCTTTCTGCCACTTGATCTCTGAGCAAACAAATCAAAGTGACCAAGTCCAGCACAGCCCAGATCTGAATCTTGTTTTCTGAATAACATCAAAAACTGTCACAGTGGTAACCTGACAAGTCATACAAAAATCATTAATCTCATTGTTCTCGGCGGGGATCAGTTTGAGTTTATCCCAAAATCTCCGTTCTGCCGTGATCCTCACCAGTCCTGGCTCTTGGTGGTGAGACACCGGTCCTGCTGCTTCTCCTGAAGTTTGACGCCTCATCGCCCATGGCGCACCGCCGGATGACTGTATTTATTTTAGAGAATTTATTGCTTTTTATCAGCCACTTATTGCAGAGACACACAGATCGCCGGTGCTGGCTCCTCTCTCTCTCTCTCTTTCTCTCTCTCTCTCTCTCTCTCTCTCTCCCTCTCTCCCTCTCTCTCCCTCTCTCTCTCTGTATGTAGTATTATTGCTGTCCGTGCGTCTTTCAGCTGAGCTAAAATTTCCAAGCAATTTCCATAAAAGTACTCAATCTGTCACGCTTCATGTGGGGAGCTACGGCCTCTCCGTGCGCGCACACAGCGCAGGAGTCTCCAGTAATTCCTCCATAGAGATGTTGCATCCAGTCATTTTTGTTAAACTGGACTCAGGAACCCATCTTTAGTAAATCAGGATGATGTGAAGAAAGAATGTCCACAAAAAAAAGAGAGAAAAAAGATCCTTTGTTCTTTGCTGTCCAGGTTCTCCCAGCTTCAGTTTTTCAGTTCTTCTTTTAGCCAGAATGCATCATAAAAGGACATAAATTGATAGTTGCAGTGGTTCAATCATCCTGTTTAGTGTGGGCCATTATCTTCCCATCCTCATATTTGCTGGAGTTCGACGACAAACATTGGCTTCACCACAACCCTCTCTCTCTCTCTCTCTCTCTCTGTCTCTCTCTCTCTCTCTCTGTATCTGTATGGTGGATGGGTGGTTGTTTTCTTCAGTGATTTGTCAGCAGTAGGGGGGATTTGAACCTCTTGTGCGCGCTCATCCATTATGTTTTACCCCATGCCTGTTCAATGCCGCATTTCCTTGACAGAAAACAAACACAGCAAATTGGTCAAATGATGCCAGCTGGGCAAAGAAGAGGCTTATGACATCAGGCAAGACATCGACAATGCCATTGTTTATCATCTGACTTATTAGTAGATGAAAGTTGTCACTTTAACTTATCATATCCGAGCTTGAGACGCACATGGTCTCATGTCCAGCCCCATGAAGAGACAACCCTGAAACCCTCCTGTGCCCCCCCCCCCCATGCAGTATTTTTAGACAGGCAACAAAAGTTTAAAAAAAAAAAAAAAAACGTCCAGTTGCTCTGGGAGACATGGAGAGCACTCACATTGTTGGGTAAAAGGTCTTATTCCCATCAGGGTCACCACAGCTAATGGTATTGTAAAAACACTTTGCATGAAAGCGTGTGACTAGTGACATTCATGCCAATCTGCTGACCTTCATCAATGTGGGATCAATGCTACCCTCAGTTGTGCACACAAGCAGTAGATTTTAAATTAGGCAAAATGAGATTTCGCTCTCGATAAGTTGTTTTTTTTTCAGCGTAGCAGATGATTGTATGAGAAATCAAATACACATGGTCTCATCTAAAGATTTCCACTGTTCATCTTCGTCCATGTAATAGCACATTTACAGTAATTTATGTAAATTGAATTACTGATGGCCATCTCCTCTGTCAAGGTCCACCATTGTTTTAGCATTTATGTAATATAGTATTTTAAAAAATCTCATACACTTCAAAGCACCATGTAAGTTCATGTTAAGATTAAAGTTGCATTAAATAAATCGTAAAATTTCGCAACTTTTAAATACAAGTTTTTCTGTATCAGCAGCCTGTGCTGTTTTGTGTCTTTATCACATGTTCACTGAAGTCATGTTTGCGTCATTGCTAAAATCAGAGCTAACCACAAGGAAGGTTGCACTTGAAATTTATAATTTCCCTTTTAATTGAAAACAGGATAACATGTGGCTCCAACAGGAGCAGCTGCAGCTCTTTATGTTAAATGATGAACCGTAGCTCATTTGCATTACAGTTCAAAGAATAAATGAAGGCAAACTATATACAGTGAGTCACATTACTTGTGTTTAACATCAAAGACCTACCAAAAGAAATCAATACATTATATTAAAAAAAAGAATAAAATATGACAAATCAAACAAATGTTTACGCAAGAGACAATTTTTTCAAACAACAGTGTCAAAAGTTCCATAATTTCACAAAAGGAAAGCAGCCAAACTAAGACAAAGGTTTAAAAAATGTGCTATGTTTAGATCAAGACCAAGAAATTTTCACTCCAAGCAACAATTTCACTCATATTTTTTAAGTTTTACAGCATTACAACTTGAACAGCAATTTAGCCTTTGACTCAATGTGTTCTGTGAATCATTTGGTCCATCTGAATCTCTAGTTTATTTTCTAAATCTTAGGATTGGTAAATAACTGGAGTTAGGCAACAAACATGAAGCAACGTAAACTTTTAATTGTCTTTTAAAAGTTAGTTTGACAGCTTTTAGCCACCACTGAACTTCACTCAAAGGCTTCTTTTTGGTTATAGATCTCAAATACCTGAATCAAACTGTAATCAGTCTCCAGCTGTGGTTTACACAGCTCAGTGGCAACAAGGTGCATGTTTGGTGTCTGCACGTGTGTCAACCTTTTATCTTTGTTGCAGTGCTGAGCTTTGAAGCTAAATTGAGACCATGTTTCTTTCTTGAATCATCATCCCATTTTTAGATCAAAAGTAATGCCTCTGTAACAGGATGAAGCACCTGACTAAAAAAATGTTCAGGTAATTCTTCAGACTCGAGACATTGCAGCATCCCTCAGATATTTCCTATTTGTGATGCAGGCCACCAGGAAGCAGTCTGATGGCTGGACTCATTTTGGAGCCTTAGCCTCAGCTGACCTGGAATTGCCTTCCGATTTCCCAAGAAGAGCTGGAGGAGGCTGTCGGGAAACAGGACATTTGGGCTGCTCTGCTTGCTGCCTCTGGTGTCACTGACACAGATAAGAAGCTAAAAAATAGATGTAAGGATGTTTGGATGTACAATGAACTTCTGAAAGTTGTGGCTGCTCTTCTTCTCCTGCCAGTGCAGTGTGAACGCTCTCAAGAGTGATGCTCTGAATGATAGAAATGGTGGCACTGACGCCTATTAACTGGAACATGTTGGTACCAAAACGTGCTCTCATGCTGAAAAGAAAAGAAAAAACTAATTCTAGGAATGTACATCGTAGGTATTTGATTTACTGTAATTGGCATGCATCAAAAAGGTATGATGCCAAATCAGAAAAGTGTCAAAGCATGATTATAGAATCACAAAAAAGAAATCTGTGCAGACTGTAATAACTTTGACAAAGCCTTAGTTGGGAGCTGTGAAGAGTCTTGGTGGAGGTTTGTTATTATCCTGCTGACAGCCGCTGTCCTCCATGTGTGGCAGGAGGAAAGCTGTATTGGGGAAGTGGTGCCACTAAGAATTACATAAAAGTCCACTTTCTCCTCGGGGTCCCCTGAAAGCATTCCCTCATTTCTCCCCAAAGGTGATGCCAGCGCTCTAATAGATTGAAACAGAAAGGAAGGATGTGAGCAGAAGGAAACTGAAGGAAAATCAGAAGATTTTTAGTCATGTTTTGTTTTTTTAAAATCACTCTTCACAAAGAAAGTCAAAATATTCTCTATTTTCTTTTTTTCTTCTCTATATTTTTTTTGTAAACAAGTGCACAACCACAAAAAGACACTTGATCTAAACCACTAAATCAACAATTTTTGTTTTGCGTCACAGGAGCAGCTAGCACGGTTTAGTCTGGTTTCTATCTATACTGTAATTACTGGCTTTAGAAATAGACTAACACCCTGACACTGAGTTGTTTTCCTCTTGTCCACATTTCTTTCCTGCCTCAGCCGAGATCAAATCAGTATTTCGCTTGTGTTTCGGTGCGTGCAGGAAGGAAGAAAAACATGCTGCATTTTCACTTTTATGCATTTGATGGGAAGAAATATTGCTTTGAGCTGTGATATTAAACTTCAAACCAATGCGCTGCAGGTAAACAGACAGAATAAGGACATATAGTACACAGATAGCACGGTAACTTAATAATTAAAGACATTAGGCTGTTTAAGATGACCTGAGGGACGCCGCTCCAAAGCCTACAGATGTTTCAGTGATGCTGGATGAAAAGCAGCACATGTAGGTATTGTGCGCCGGTCGTAGCTAGCCTGATTCTTAAATATAGCATCAGCTCTGTGTTTTTCTGGACAAAAGGTTAAGCACCACAGAGGCTATTTGCTTTAGCCTGGTCCTGGGAACAATTCTTGTCTCAAGTATTCACACATAGACTTCGGCGCTCAATCATAAAATACTTTCCACAAAACTCAAAGCGATTCGAACTAATTTGGAAAAATCGTGGTCGCTGCATTATAACTGAAGCTGCAGAAGCTTGGCGACGGACCGTAAAGAATTGCTGGACTGAAAAAAAATAAACCAGAAAAGCATGAATCATTTTGTCTGTATCTTTAAAAGTCAGGGCAGGGCTAATTTTAGAAGTGTTTTCTTAGCTTAACAAAAAGAAAAAGCACAATTAAACTTGTTCTTCTGCTAGTTGCATTTTTAAAAAGGGTTAAACATGGAAGGCTGAGAGTGTCAAGCTGTTGAGGGTATGTCGCTGTTTCATGCAGATTTTTTTGGAGACTTGGAGGAGCTTCATACTGATGTGTATGTGCAGGTCAAATACAAGCGACCCTGCCCTGCCTTGATAGCTTTGAGGAACATCTGAGGACTCGACAGCACGCACGAGGAATACAATCAGAAACCTTAACAGCGGGTTTCTTCACAAAAGAAATCTCAGGAGTGTAAGACTGAATCATTCAAGCGTTGTCTTTTCAGGATTTACATATCAACCCTCACATTTCCTCATAATTTACAACCTTCTGAGCTTAAAAATGAAAAATCTTTTGACCTTGAAACAGGCGACAACTCTGACTAAATGATTTATGTTTTGCTCCACATCAGGTGCGGTACACATGCCGCCTGTCTTTTGCTTATCTTATACTTTAGATGCCACCTTTAGACGGCATCTAATGGTATTCTTTTCCTACTTTACATCCCTGCTACAACACAGAATGAATCTGCAACTGAATTTCAACTTTAAAGGATTAAACTCTCTCAGGGCAGATGCTTTAAAGTGTATTCAATCGTGTTTCCTTGAGAGAAAATTGTCAGTTGTAGAG